AATGAAAAGAATGAATGAAAAAGAAGAGAATGAAAAGAAAAGAATAAAAGAAGAAGAAGAATGAAAAGAGAAGAATGAAAAGAGAGAGAAGAAATAATGATAAGAAGAATAAAAGAAGTTGTAAAGATTAGATGATAGAATAATGAAAAGAATGAAAATGAAAGAAGAAGAAATATGAAAAAAGAAGAAGAATTAACATAAGAATGAAAAGAAGAAGAAGAAGAAGGAAAAGAAGAAGAAGAATGAAAAGACAGAAGAAGCATTCCAGTACAAGCAAAAAGTGTGATCTTCAAGAGCTCCGCTATTTCTGACAGTTTCTCTGAACAGTTCCTTCACATTTACAGCGTTGAAACATTGTATCTCAGATTGTTTCTGAATAAAAACATCTGATCCTAAATGAAACAAATAGATACAATGTTTTCAACCGCTGTAAATGTGAAGGGAACTGATCAGAGAAACTGTCAGAAATAGCGGAGCTCTCCTATACAGATCACTTTTTGCTGTACTGGAATTCTTCTTTTCATTTATCATTCTTCTTCTTACTTTCATTCATCCTTACTAATCCTTCTTTTCATTCTTCTTTTCATTCTTCTTCTTCTTGTTATTCATATCTTCTTAACTTCTTTCTTTTCATTCTTCTCTTCTCTCTTTTCATTCTTCTTCTTCTTCTTTCATCTTCTTCTTTGCATTCTCTTTTCATTCCTTCTTTTCTCTCTTTCCCTTCTTCTTCTTTTTCATTCTTCTATTCTTCTTTTCATTCTTCCTCTTCTTCTTCTTCATATTTTCATTTATTCTTCTTCTTCTTCTTTTCATTCTTCTTCTATCTCTTCTTCTTCTTTATCATTCTTCCTTCTTTTCATTCTTCCTTTCATTCTTCTCATTCTTCTTTTCATTCTTCTTATCATTCTTCTTCTTCGTCTCCATTCTTCTCCATCTTCTTCGCCGTCTCCTTCTCTTTTTCATTCTTCTTCTTCTTTTCATTCTTCTTTCATTCTGTCTTCTTCGTCTTTTCATCTTCGTCTTCTTCTCTTCTTCATGCTTCTTCTTCTCTTCCTGCTGTCATTCTTCTGTCATTCTTCTTCTATCTCATTGCCTTTCTCTCTTCTTCTTCTCCTTCTCCTTCTCCATCTTCTTTTCATTCTTCTTCTTCTTTTCATTCTTCGTTCTTTTCAGTCTTCTTTTTCATTCTTCTACTTTCACATTTACAGCGGTTGAAACATTGTATCTATTTTGGTTTCTCTGAAATAAAAACATCTGTAATCCATAAATGGAAACAAATAGATACAATGTTTCATCACGATGTAACAGTGTAAGGAACTGTCCTAGAGAACTGTTCAGAAAATATCAGAGCTCTCTGCAGGGACACATTTTGGCCGGTCTGTAGAAGGGATGAAAATCGGCCGAGTCGGGAAAAATTCGAGTCGTGCATCCGTAGTTTGGCTAATTTTCAGATTCAGCTGCGAATAGAATTTTTTCCTACTATTCGAAACGAGATTCCACATTCGCCAAGTTTCGATTCGCCTCATCTCTAGCAGTTTGCCAAAGTAGTGCGTAAAAAACACAAAAAATTAAATCAAAAGAATAACACTTCCACAAATGCCATATACACATGATATGCTTGGGGGGGGGGGGGGGGGGGGGGGGGGGGTGGGGGGGTGTTGGGGGGTTTTGTATTTTTTTGGGTATTTGAATTATATAAGGAGTGTTATTTTATTGGACCTGGTACCAAACTGTTAATAGCTGAGAGATTTGCTTAGTTGCAACACAGGTTGCCATTGGGTAGCTGTCTCTGCATTGAGTTGTGGGTGCAGTGTGTGTGCGCTCGGGTGTTTTTGACATCAAGTGTTTAGTGGGTTTTTTGTTGGGCCTTATTGTGGTCCATTTTTGATTTTTTTTTTTTTGCTAGGCAGATTTAAAATGCAGAAAACGCAGACAACATGAAATACGTGCATGTCTGCCAGTGTTTCCAATGTGATTTATTTGTGACAAAAACATTACACTTTTGGTGTGCCAAAAAGGCTCTGACCTTTTCCAAAAAAACAAGCCATGTGAAAACGCACATGTGTAAACATGTCCCATAGGAAATCACATCTTAAAGCAGAGCTCCATGCAAAAAGGGGAAGTTCCACTTTAAAGGACTGCTCCCCTGTTCCCCATTTAAGGAGATTGTCAGCCTTGGGGAGCGGGTCCCCAAAAATTTGACAGGTACCCACTCTCACTTCGGTACGATCGCCTAGACTTTGGAAATGGAAGGTGTCCTCCCTCCTGGTAGTCCCTTTGGGACATGTGACCATTCACGAAACGCGGCTCTACTCGCACATGCACAGTGGGTAGCCGGCTGTGAAGCCACAAGCTGTCCACAGCCAGGTGCCGCACAGTGAAGATGCCGTCCTCCTGGAAACCAGGACAGCCGGTGAAAGGAAATGCGGGGGACACACCACAGGACCGATGGGAAAGGTAAGTGGCTGCTTTTTAGAAGTCAGCAGCTACAGTTTTTGTAGCTGATGACTGTTATTTTTTTGATAGGTCGAGTGTAAATCCGCTGTAAATGTAACTGTACAGAATTTCCTGACAAACACTGCCTAAATTATGGTGTGGCCCTAGGGTCAATGTGTGTTTAGAATACTTCAAAAATGCACATACAAAAACACTACATCCAAATGCATTTTTCATTTCTACAGCATGTTAAACACAGAAAAATGCACTTACATAATGTTAACATGAGCAATTAAAAGTAGAAAAAATACACATTTTATATTCTGGCTTCACATACATGCGTTGTGGTATAACACATGTCATTTGGACAGGAACCGCACTCCTGGGCAAATCACATACATTTTGTGTGCGTTGCAATTTGAGACATACATTTTGCACGGCTCAAATTGCACCGCATCCGGGCCAAAAAGGTGCAGGACCCTTTTTTCAGGTATGCACATGGGTGTGAATAGGCATGCAATCTGATTTTGGCACATCGGCAATATGCTTTGTGGACCAATTTTGGTTGTGTTGTTAACTTCACATACAAAGCCGCAGCAGGTGTCATGAAGGTGTTGCGGTTGTGATGCGGTGCAGCGTTTGCACAGAAAACACTGCAAATTCCGCACCGCATCAGTGTGAAACCAGAATGAGCCAAAATGTGGCTTTACCAAAGCACAGTGGTCAGTGCTTATTATTTTCATTCACTGGTTTAACTCAGGTGATCGTTAATCACAATTATCTCAGGAGATCACATGCAGCCCCTCAACCATCTACACAGATCTCTGGAAATCTATACAGATCTCCTTGAAAAAAAAGTCTCCTCTCTTCTCCTTCGGAAAACAAATGTCCTCCACCTCATAAACAGGGGGACAAAGAAGACTTCTCCCTGAAAACTAAAATAAGATTAATTATCTGTGCTTAATAAACATACACCAATATTGCAAATGCAGTGTACAGTCAAAGACATTGCGCACTAAAAATGTCAAATGCGTTATTGTGTACAGTGCAGTAGTGGAAAATTGCATTGCACACTGTAATGCACTGTACACTGTAATACTGTGTACACCAGCACATTGTAGACTGTAATGCACTGTACATTGTAATGGCGTTTACAACGCAATGTACACTGTAATGCAGTATACAGCAATGCATCGCACACTGTAATACACTAATGCAGTATACAGCAACGCATTGCACACTGTAGTGCACTGTACACTGTTATGCGGTATACAGCAAAGCATTGCACACTGCAATGCAGTATACAGCAACACATTGCACACTAATACCATGTGCACCAACACATTGTAGGTCTGTAATGCATTATACGCAGAATACATGAACATATCTGCAAAGATTAAACATGAAGGCCTAGCTGGTTAACTAGTTTCCAACCACAGATAGCCGAATGACGGCTACACTGCAGCCGGCCAGTTTCTGGGAGGGCGTCATATGACATCCTCCCAGAACAAGCTCTCCTGCGTGCCCCCCCGGCGATCTCAGTGATCGCTGTGTCCTATGAACACCGCTGATCACGTGATGTGGTAAAAGGCCAATCACAGCGGCTTTTTACCACGTGATCAGCCGTGTCCAATGACACGTTGATCACAGGGGAATGCAATTGCCGTTTCTCGACTGCACTTTCCTCACGCTGTCAGAATGTGGAGAAAGTACTGCCGAGAACCAGCAGTTAAAAGAGCAGGGATCAGCACCGATCATCAGGGCACTGATGATCAGTGCCCTGATGATTGGTGCCCAGCAGTGCCACCCAACAGTTCCGCCCACCTGTGCCCAGCAGTGCCACCCACCAGTGCCCACCAGTGCAGCCAGTCAGTGCCCAGCAGTGCCACCAGTCAGTGCTGACTATCATTACCCATCATCAGTGCCGCCTATCGGTTCCACCTATCATTGCCACCTACCCGTGCCACCTGTTTGCAAAATTTTATAATAGAAAAAAAGAAAAAAATTTTTTTGTAATTTTTTGCTCTTTGTTTATAGAGCAAAAAGTAAAAACACCCAGCGACAAGTACATACCACCAAAAGAAAGCTCTATTTGTAAGAAAAAAAAATTATAAAATTTCATATGGGTACAATGTTGCATGACCACGCAATTGACATTCAATGTGCGACAGTGCAGAAAGCGGAAAATTGGCCTGGTAAGGAAGGGGGTATTAGTGCCCGGTAGGCAAGTGGTTAATATCACTGACCCATCAATACCCAGGAGCTAATGTACAGATAAGCAGGAAGTAGCATGTACATGTGCACTAAGTGACATTCTGCTAGGCCCCACCCAAAAAGCTGCAATTACCTGTCCCTCTCATATGTTGTTTAACCACTAGCCTACAGGGCACTTATACCCCCTTCCTCCCCAGGCCAATTTCCAGCTTTCAGCACTGTCACACTTTGAATGACAATTGCGCAGTCATGCAACACTGTACCCATATGAAATTTTTATAATTTTGTAAATAAGTGATTTTTCTCCTTCACTGATGTGCGCTAATGAGGCTACATTGATGGACACTGATAGGTGGCACTGATAGGTTGCACTGATGGGCATTGACAGGCATCACTGATGGGCACTGAAAGGCAGCACTGATACATGACACAGATATATGGCACTGACTGGCGGCACTGATTGGCATTGATAGGTGGCACTGATGGGTGACATTGAAAGGCAGCTCAGATGGGCACTGATATGCGGCATTGATGTGGCACTGATGAGCACTGACAGGTTCTGGGGCCACACTGATCATCAGTGCCCTGATGATCAGTGTACATGTCCCCTCTGCGGAAAGCCGATTACCAGCTCTCCTCTCGAGCTGTCAGCATGACAGCTCGAGAAGAGAGAAATGCCGGCATTTCCGTGTTTACATGTGATCAGCTGTGATTGGACACAGCTGATCACATGACCGAGCCGACATCTTCGGCTCTTTCTGTGATCGGCTGTGTCCGAGGGACACAGCGCACCGGCGATCGCCGCGCATGCGCAGTGAGAATGGGTAGGACGTCATATGACGTCCTATCAGAATGAGAGAACCACCTTGTGCCCATCATTGTACTATAGGGCAGGCGGAAGGTGGTTACATTTTTAATGTGTTTATGTGCAATTAGTTGGTTTGAAAGGGGGAACCTATCAGAATATGGATGCTTAGTACCCCTTAGCACTCATTCCCCAAAATGTAAATTAATACACACACACATCATGAAAAAATCCTTTAATAAAAAACCTAATAAAAAATGTAAACAATGTAAAAGCATCATCAATCACAATGTTTGAACATATTTGCAATGGCCACACTTACTTTGCAAATGAGGATCATCTCAGTCGAGAACTGGGATCTCGCCATGTTTTGCTGAAAATCCATCGAAAAGCACAACAGCACCACAAATCCACAACCCCTCTCTCATCCTCTAACACTCCCCACAACCACTTCCGGTGCACGCGAATGTGATGACATATTTCCGGGATGACAGCCGCTCGAGCGACTTGCTGACAGGCGCTTGGCATTTATTTGTGCGCGATCGCTTATTTCTATGCGCATATGCTGTATATTAGCTTTCGCGAATCTATGTTTCTCACTCCATTGTTTATGTACCATTGGCTAATATATATATTTGTTGCCAAATGCCCAAAATAAACATACAGTGGGGACTAGTTTATTACTGTTACTAAAATTGTAGAAATCCTGTAGCTCGCTGCACATTCAACATGACCTATTCATTGGTACATAACATGGTCTTGTAGTGCAATAGGGGGCTTTTTTTGTCAGTTTGGACATACTTGCATGTGTGCACTCTTACAAGGTTGTTAGTATATTGAACATGAAATAAACACCCCAAAAAAAAAAAAAAACATAGTTCAAACATTTATTGATCAAATACATCTTCATTTATTTGGACAGCAGCAACAAGTAGGTACAGTCAATTTCTTGGTGTGAGTCATAAAAAAAAAAAAAATAGCAGAATTGATGTTGCTAAAATAAAAAACGCTGCTACTCATAAGAGCTTACAATCTAAAGATGACACTTCTAATGAACTGTGCTTGCACAGGTTATAGCAGGAAACAAAGGGTAAGATGAATCAAGCAACATTTTCAGGCCCATAAATTTACATACACACTTAGTATGAAGATCCATTCACAAAACAGGCTACAGATCAAAATATCAATAGAACAAGACATAGGTGAAAAAATGAACACCTCCCACCTCTGTAAATCCCCTACACATACATTTCTCAGCAGGTTTGTCAGAAAAATGCATTGGAGTCTAAATAAGCAAGCAAAATTGAAACAAAAGCAGATTTGAAACAAAACATGTGTTAGGCTTTCAATGCAAAGAGAAAAAACACAATCATTGTACAATAACACACAAACACTTTACAAGGCAAACAAATGAGAACATTTCCAGCCCACTTCTAAACACAGCCTGAGTGGTGTGTCTGGGGCAATTCAGCACAAAATCTCTTCCTCCCCAAACCACAACAAGCAAGGACTTGGTCAAAACTCACACGGCCTAGCAACAGGCCAAATCAACCACTACATCACGTCTTTATATAAGCTAGGTCACAGTTGGAGCACGCCAAACAAGGACCCACCCCCAAATAAGCCTACACCCACCACTGTCCTTCATTTGGTCAGTGAAAGTGTTTATACCTGATGAATCCTCTTCCTACCTGCGTTAACCCTTGGTATACAGGCGCCACAAATCAGAAAGAAATACACAGTGAAATGTACCTGTGCAGCATACAAGAGAACATTGAGCAGTAATGAATACACTATTTTTCATGTGATTTGCAGAGAGATCTGTGTCAAATGTCTTGCACTTGAAATCACCACGTACCCCAACTTTGAAATCATGCGACGTCAATTTAAGTCACATGATGTGACCGTAGTGTACATAACACCACTTAGAAATCTGCTTTAATGTGACCGAGGTGGCCCCCAGTAACATTGTTTGCGATTTGGCATGCAATTGGCATGACAGGCGACTTGCAAATTGTAGACCAAGTCGCACCCTATTGTCCACTGTAGGCTCTGTTCACATCCAATTGGATTGTGAACTCGTGCAACTTCACTGTAAGTTGGGCAATTGCCACATCGGATTAGATGCCAATCGCATGACAAGTCGCATCCAGGGTGTGCAATTTCAGGTGCAATTTGTGAATTGACATTGTACATGATATCAGATATAATGAATGTGAATGTGAGTGTATTAACATACGCCATTTGTTGCAGCACGATTTCAAAAGGTAGTTCATCAACTTTTTGGCCATTTAATAGCAATTTCACATCTAGACTCCAATAGAAATCGCAATGCTAAACACAATAGAAAATACAACTAGTTTGAAATTCTCTAGAAAACACGGTGAAATTGGCAACTTAAAGTGCAATTTTCAATTGCATATAGTGTGAACGAAGCAGGTAAATCAACAAAGGAAATAAATCTTTGAAGGCATGTGGTACCTGCCTGCTCGGATAAGGGTCTGTTATGAATTTGGGGGAAATTCCATGCCAGTATTTGTAACAATTTTGATGTGTTGATTCCCCGCCCAAGCCTTTTCTTTCTCTCTCACTCTTCAGTATGTATCTCTCACTCATTCTTCTGTCTCACTGGCTCGCTCTTCTCTCTCACTCACTCTTCTCTCTCTCAGGTCTTTGCTTGACAAATCCTTCACAAAAGGGGGTGGAGTGTAAACCAGCATTATCAAATCTATTAGTAGTTCAGGCCCTTATCTCACCCCATTGTTTGACATTCACATAAGGTGCAGCTTTGAAGGTGTTTCAACAGACAAGGCATCATTCGAATTCACATTCTAGGGATCATTTAGATAGAAATCAAACATGTTGCCAGAACATCTATTTGAAGACAGGGAGATCATGCTACTTTCTTGCCGTGGTTGGGATTCAAACCAACAACCCTAGCGCTGTGAGGCAGCAGTGCTAACCACTAATCCACAGAGCTGCAATGCTAATCCAGCCTGTATTTCTGTGTTGTGAATCAACCCTATGTCCCTGGGCAAGGTCAGTGTAACTAGCCAGATATCTCAAATGTGACACAAATGTTGTACTATGTTGCCAATTCAGATATATGTTGGTTCTATGTATCCCAATACAAATGATTGCAATACTAATACATGCGTACCTCGGTTTACCAACTCCTCGGGGAACGTCATATTTTGTGTACAAATGCCAAACCATTAAAATTAATTGGTCGGTTTACAAATGTTTGAATAATTTGGTTCACAATACAAAGTGTATGTTGGTGGCGATTTTTCAATGAAGGGAAGTGACAGCTGAGCTAGAGTGAAGACCAAAAAAAGCCGAATTACATTTAAAAACCAGCACCATAATAATAAAAAAAAAAAAATGGCGTGGGATCCCCCCTCCCATCCATACCAAGCCCTTCGGGTCTGGTATGGATATTAAGGGGTAACTCCACGCTGATATTAAAGAAAAAACAGTGTGGGGTTCCCCCCAAAATCCATATCAGACCCTTATTCGAGCATGCAGCACGGCAGGTCAGAAAAGGGGGGTGACAAGCGAGCAACCCCCCTCCTGAACCATACCAGGCCACATGCCCTCAACATGGGGGGGTGGTTTGGGGCAGGGGGGCTCCCCCCCAAAGCACCTTGTCCGCATGTTGATGGGGACAAGGGCCTCTTCCCCACAACCCTGGCTGGTGGTTGTGGGGGTCTGCGGGTGGGGGGCTTATCAGAATTTGGAAGCCCCCTTTAACAAGGGGGCCGCCAGATCCCACCCCCCCTACGTGAATGAGTATGCGGTACCACTACTCATTCACAAAAAAAGCAAAAGTGTAGTGTAAAAAACCACAGTACAGGGTATTTGACAAGTCCCTTTAATAAAACAATGTCCCCCGAAGTAGATCCAACGTCAATCACGATGTCACGGTGGCTACCCAAAAAAAAAAAAAAAAAAAAAAGTTCCACTCTTGACGGAGGCTACCAGTCTTATGCAGCGAGTCTCGCTGACAGCTCTTAAATAGGTAAGGGGCGGGGCCAGCCGGGGACATCATCCGAGTGATTCCGCCCCATGTGACATTGTTGATGTCACATGGGGTGGGATCACATGCTCGATGTCGCCGGCTGGCCCCCATGTTGAAGGCATGTGGCCTGGTATGGTGCAGGAGGGGGGAGGCGCTCGCTCGCTTGCTCGGCGTGGAGTTACCCCTTAATATCCATACCAGACCCGAAGGGCTTGGTATGGATGAGAGGGGGGACCCCACGCTGTTTTTTTTTTTATTGCAGACCTTTATTTTTACATTCAGCTGTCAAAATAAATATTATCTACACCTGCCTAGTGCTGTTTGTCAAACACAGTACACGAGACCGAGTGCAGTCTGTCAGTGGATTCCACACAGAGATTTACTATTGAACAGGGTTGAAAAAGAAAGCGCCCACAGAAGACGTCTAAAATGTGTTCTGCACATGTGCATTTATATCAGACAAAGACGCTGCAAAAGCATCTAGTTCTTCACTGTGTCAATTTGCTTAAAAAAAACAATTTTTTACACATTTTAAAATATTTTTGAAATGGCAGATACTGTTTAAACTGAAGTCCTGATATTTGGCAAAGCAAATTTCAATGTTAACATGTCTCTGCAGTGATTTTTCATTGTGTTAGACGTGCCTCTTAGCAAGTTTGCTTTTTGAGTCTGATTCCTGGGCTGTGTCTGGTTAGTAAATTCAATTTGGCGTCTATTTGTTGACGCTTTCTTTAGTAAATCTGTTTGCTGTGTAAAAGTAGACAATCGCTATTAAAAAGTAGACGTTCGCCCACGGAAATGCGCCTAGGCACAATAGTAAATCAGGGTCATTGTCTCAAATAAACACCTTGAGACTCAACATAAACAAAGCCCTGTTCAGGATATATTAATTCAGCTACGCACTTTACGGGGGAACTTGAGACTCCA